TTATGCCACTCTCCAAGTACAAGATCATCACACTTTGCAGAAGAAGCCTGTTCATGTTATGGTGATTTCCATTCAAAAATCTGAACATTACTCTGGTTATGAAAACAGTGATGTCATCTGCATACTATGAACAAGCTGAGTGTATTTATCTTCTGAAAACCTCAAAACTCCCAGCATGCAATGAGAGGAGAGGATTATATTTCCAACACTAATGGCAGTGTAGTGTTGTTCAGCAGAGCCAAACATTAATAGAAGTCTGTGGGAAGAGGCTGAGCGAGGGGTTGTCACAGACCCACTCTCCTACAGAAGCCCTCTAGTCACAAAAAAAGTACTGACCTTTCTCTGTCAAATGCAAAAGGAAGAGCGAGGATATTAAAAAAAAAGAAAAAAAAAAAGAGGGGGAGATTATCTTCTGTTGCCGCTTTCTTTTAGCTGCTGTGAGGAAACATGCTGTATCTGGGGCCCAATAACCATCACTGTGCAGCACAGCTGTGAGGATGAGACAAGCCTTGATACTGTAGTTCTAATGAAAGAACATAAGCTACATACAAAGCATTTACAGCCACACAACCAAGAAAGGCAATAAGGTGTGAATGTAACCATCACATTGCAGTGGACAGTGCAGCTGAACCCTAAACCTGTGGGATGTTGTTCTCTGATACCACAGGATCTTTTCTTCATCTCTGGCTAACATCTAACTTTATTATCAGGCCAAGAATAATCCGACTTTTGTTTCGTTTTCAGAACATGTATGAACTTCTCATATATATATTTCTGTTCAAATGATCTTTAATCATTAATTTTAACTTTAAATGATAAGCTCAAACAATAGCCTCCAATTTATTTTGAATAAAAGCCTGGTTGTGGTGTGAGGAATAATGGCTGATAAAGGCCATGCAGGTAAAAACCTGTATCTGTACTGTAACAGCCCACATTTACCACATGGAAGGCATTTTCTAAAAATAATGCCTTCAACAATATTGAAAACTTTAACTTGCCCCAAATTTGCTTCGCTGACTCTCCTTATGCTACTGTCTTATGCTATTGTTACTAGGTATTATGTCACTATTATTTTCAAACATAAAATTGATTTAAATCGTTTTTTAGCCATGCTAACAGCATGACTGTCAGGATAGCATGACATAAATGTTCTGTATTTATATAACACTTCCATATATGACCACTGAAAGCACTTTACAGAACAGTTTTGCCATTTACACACATTCATACAGGACATCATGTGCAAAAATTATATATGTTTAATTCGAAGAATAATTCAAAATTAGCAAATGTAAAATGTGTTGCAAATCCTGCATTGAAAAGACATCCATGTGCAAGGGTGTGTTTTTTGCTTGGCAGCCACTTCTAGAGCTGCCTGGAAAACATTTCATATTTCATAATAATTCATTACTTTTGATAAATACCCACAGTGTTTATAAAGTGCAGCTTGGAAAAGATAGTCATGTTGCATGTGGACATGTGTTTGCTTCAGATGTGTCCACTTGAACGAAATGAAACTTGTAATTCCAAGCAGCAGAAACACTGGAGACCAGTCCAGACTATATTTAGGCATAAAACGCTCCTCATCTTCTACTTTCAGTTCAGGAGTATTAAGATGAAAAAGTACTGGATTGGTATTGAGTCAATTAAACATTAAATTCAAAATTTTTATTTGGCACATAAGCCAGTATAGACACATACCTCTGTAAATAATATTGTAACATAATATCACATCACCAGAATATTCACCCAAGCCAAATTGCCATTTTTAAAATGGTTAAAAGTATGTAAAGCACATTTTTTAAATTCTGTGATTTGCAGATACAAATAAGGATTCTTGTGCAAATCAATCCCCCCGCTGACCCCCATTAAACGCTTGGGGAGAGATAAGAGGAATATAAAATGAAGTAAACTTCAACTAAATTTAAATTTAATTATAGGGGTGTCTGGGGTCCTCTCCCGGAACACTTTTTTTAAATTTAACAGCCACCTGCAATTTTTGAGATTAGTTAGAATGGGGTTAATATGAAAACCAAGAATGCATCAACAAATTATTATAACCAGGAAAGGGGACATGATCAGGAAAGAAAATTATTATTATTATATTTTATGCCTGAAATTATATTCATAAACAATTTGTTGGCTAAAATGGTCAAATATTGGCTGCTAGAATGAGCATAAAGAAGTTACATTAATAAAATAGCCTTACAACACATCAGAATATGATTTGGATAATCAAACCTTGTCTAACTATGTTAGACTCTAGGGTTGCTATTCTATATTCCCATGATGCATCTTCGAATGCAACTAAATACAAAGTGCATGGATGAATGAAATGACCTCAATTACTGCTGTAGTTGTACAGTTACACAGGAAGGAATCATCATAACTTGATATCATTAAACTGATCATTTTACCTATATTCACTCAAATCAAGACAAATTTAATGCGGTATCAGAAGGTCACTTTTGCTCCTCAAGACTTGAAGGGAAAGACAGCAGCCCTTACAAGGTGCAGAGGGCTGGATGAAAGGAGAGATCATTATTGTATTCAAAGTCTTCAAGATTAAATAAACCATTTTTTCCTGTTTTATTATGAACCCCTTCACTATGAGGAAAAGCTCCTCTGTTTGTTCCTGTGCTTCGTTCAGTCTGCTCCATCAATAATGGGTTGGACAGAACGAGATTGACATCATTTGCAGTATGAATATCATACTATAGTTATGCATTAGTTTTGCAACCAGATTGGAGACATGATCTACAACCATCATGGTCATGATGTAGTATAAATATGAATTATCATGATATGATCATTATTAAATGTCATTATTATGATATAAAATAGATGTATGTGTGTTTGTCAGCTGCTGAACATAGTAAAATGATCATTGATATATTCTGCTCAAATGTAATCATCTTTATATACATTACATTTTACACAGAAAAAGAAGTAGGGTAGCAAAACCATGACTTTGCTCTCTCTAACTGAATAATGGTCATTTGCTCCACTTGCTCTATTATTATTAAGTTAAATAATATGCCAGTTACCATGGGAGAATATGTATAAGCACAGCAACTGAACATGTCTCAATATATGTCTAATACCATCACTGCTCAATGTTTGTGGGTGTAAGGCTCACCAGGAAGGCGGCAATGGCTGTGCCTATGATGAAGCCAGCGATGACGTCCGACCAGTGGTTGCGGTATTCAGCCACGCGGTTCAGACCGGTGAGGAAAGCCAGACACATGAGCCCGAGAGACAGCACTGGTTTGGCCAGGCGAGTGCCTTTCGCCTGCACCGTACAGGTCACGTACATCTGCCAGGGAAGAGAGAAGCAGGGATTACATCACCTGAATGCTTTTTAACATTCACTTGTGTGTCAGGAGCAAAGGTGGAGGTAGCATACTGTTGTTTAAGAACATCTCAGGTGGAGGTGGAGGCAGATGGATGGGCCAACAAACCTAGGGACTTTGACACAGGTTCATCCAGACAATCAACGCAATTGTCTGTGACATCTATAATTTATAAACTTTTACTAGTTTTTGACCCTTAATCAATCCAAATCATATATCAATGGCAGATTAAAAAAAACAGCAATCACTGAAAGGAGCAGACAAATGTTTAGTAAAGATCAGAACATGTTCAGTGTGTAAGATTTAGGTGAAAGGGATTTTTGGCAGACATTGAATATAAAACAATCCTAGTGATGATTTCACTGGTGTGTTTCATCCAAATTGTATGAATTGTTGTTTTCTTCACCATAGAATGAGCTCTTTCTATTTAAGAAATACAGAATAATGAAAATCTACTTTATTTTACTTTGACTTTTAAAAATAATCAGAATCTCCCTCCATAGCACCTATTGTCTATAAACTCTGGGGAAATGCCACCAGACAGCTGTGTCTGTGTGTAAATATGAGCTGATATGTTGTGTCTCTCCTCAGGGCATCTTTCTATTTTCTCCCCTGTATTTACAGAAGTGCTGGCAGATCTGCCACTGGAAGTACAGAATGAAAAAAAAAAAAAACTGCGAGGGTGAGGAAAACAAAATAACAAGAACAAAGCAGATGGAGAGTAATAGACAGACTGAATACAGATGAGGAGAGGAGACAGAGTAGAAAGAAAGAAAGAAAGAAGATGGGGCCTAAAGGCAGACATAATGAATAAGTTCAGTGATGTTACGAGAATAAGGGAAAAGGTGACAAGCTCAAAGAGGAGATGAAAGTATAAAGCATGTATAGAGGGGCAGGAGAACTGGAGAGAGAAAATGAGAGGAGAGGAGAGGGAAGGGCAAAAGGGAAAAAAGGACAGAGAAGACAACTTCCTCTAACCTTAACTAAGTAGTCGTGTGAGTACAAATATTGATTTTGTAACAGAAAAGAACATTGTAATTTGATGTTTCTGCTAAAACCCAGGATTACCGCACATGCCTTTGTATTTCGGGGTTTGTCACGATATGAAATTTTGGCGCCCTGATTATTATCAGAGGAAATACCATGGTTTCACGGTTTTCACAATTAGCGAAACTATAGAAGGAAACAGACACCCAACAAACAATATATAGCTAGTAATAACACTGGCACAGGAAGTCAATTGTTAGGTAATAAAATCACACGACACGGATGTGATTTGGAGGGACAATGCACTGAAAAGACACAGGATAGAGCAGAGAGAAGAAAATGAAGGGGACAGAGAGGACAGGGCCGATGATTGTAGGGTAAAGAGAGGACAAAATAGGAGGGGGTGGGGGGGAGTCCACATCTGGTTTTATCTCGTCACTAATAAAGAGAGGGAGAGAGAGAGAGAGAGAGAGAGAGCCTGCAGCATCATCCTCCTCTCCTGCTTCTTCTATTGCCTTCTCCTCCTCTGACCATCTGGGCCTCAGTTGAGCTGCTGTAAATAATATATCATCATCATAAACACAACCAGAAAGCACGCCGTGAAATCACTCAATTATTTATCACTGCATCGATGTCAATTGAGGAATCTGTCATTTCAAGTTGTCAGATTAAAAGGTTTAGAACAAAAACTCCACTGATTCTCTTTTCTTTTGTTTCTCTCTTTTTTGTCGATCTCTACCTTCCGTGCACTCGCTCAGAGCCTAGACTGTAAATAAAGATTGAAGTAGCATCTCCGCTCAATCCCACTGTCCAGAAATGACGCCAAAATATCCCAGATACAAACTCATCATCACCATCTTGCACCAAATACCTCAGAGAATCGAATGGAGCCACGATATAAATCCAACAATTGCTGTTACATTTCAGCCGATACGGAACAAAAAATGAAGCACTTGGGCGTACATTAATTTATTTGACACATATTTTGACTTTTGTCCCGTCCAATAACGGGTGAGGTGGGGTTTCTGACCTATACTGCAGCCAGCCACCATGGTGAGCTGTCAGTGTCCTTGTAAAGTCTCATAGGAACGATTTGCTCAATATGTTCTATATGAAAACTAGAAACAATACACAGCCACATCTTATTCTTGGTCTTAGTTTTATAAAGTGTCATGAAATGTATTGTTTGATTTCATATTTCATATTTATACTTCAATGCACTACTGTGGTTTATTTTGATGCAATCTCTCTTTCTCCACACACACACACATACACACACACACGTTTGTACTTCTATCTTAGTGAGGACACTCATAGGCATGATGCATTCCCTAGCCCCTTACCCCAACCATAACCATCTGAACTAAATGCTTGACCCTAACTCTAACCCTTACTCTAAACTAATTCTAACCCTCACCCTAAAACCAAATCTTAGCCCTCAAACCCTTAACTCTCTCTCTCTCCGACGCACACACACAAACACAAATATAGACCAGAGCAAACATCTATGTTTAGGTCTAATCAGGAATGTGGCTTGTTAAGGCAGCAGACAGCCTCTAGGGCCTAATTGTATTTTTTATTAATTCACAATCTCCTTTGAGGCCGGATCAAATGTTTCCATTTCTCCCCCTAAACTTAATTTATTCCTCATTTCTTTTGATTTTTAAAGTCATCATGTCCCTTGCAGAGATGTATGAGAGGTGCGGTAAATGTTAAATGCTCTTTATTTTCATTTCACTTTTCTTGTCTTAATGACTAATCAAAGAGCCTTACAGTAAAGTTTTTGCCATTCACCTATTCACACACATTTATAGAGTGCTTCAATGTGCAGCACTTTCTCTGTCATACATCATACAGCTATCAGGGGCAATCTGGGGTTCAATATCTTTCCCGAGTATATCTCAGGAGGAACCAGGGATCAAACCGCCAACCTTCTGGATGATGGATGACCCATCTCCTGAGCCACAGTGGCCCCATAAGCTGTGAGACCTGCTTATGAATATATTCAGTTATTAGTTAACTGGTCCACCGAGCTAGAACCAGGGCAGTCTGATACATTAATCCTGCAGTAAACCCTCAGTTTTATTAAAACGGGTTCAGAGAAGTTAAAAAAACAATGTAAAGAGAATTAAAACAGATCAAAAGATCCAGTCTAGTGTTTTTCAATTATTATTATAATTCTGCTCCATCTCATTTACACTTTTTTTTTTGCAACCAAGAACACTACATTCAGATCGAGCCAGGGGTCCCTATATCGATGTAGTCACATCTGTTCAAGTGATATTCTTTATAATGTCATAATGATAAAATCTGCCCAGCTCCAATTCAGAAAGTGATGTGTCAGTTGAAGAAGAGCATTTTGTTTGTGTACGTACGTGTGTGTGTGCATGTTGATCTTCTCAGTAGTCACTGGTTTACATGTATGGATACACTTCACACTACAGGTGCCCTACTAGATGTTAGACCTGTATTATAGTGGATAGTGTGTATCTGTGGCCTTTGGCTTTCAAAATATATTCTGTTCATGTCCCTGCTCTGTGGTCATGATTCACATTATTCACACAACTGTCAGGTCTGACTGGTCATACTGTGTGTGTGTGTGTGTGTGTGTGTGTGTGTGTGTGTGCCCCCTCCTTCCACGGGTCAAGGTGATTTCTCCCTGTGAAGCTTGTGGCTTGTATGAGCTGTCACATGCTATCAATGTAATACTTTGATGCACAGAACAACCAGCTAGTAGACCTTGGTTACATGCACACACACACACACACACACACACACACACACACACACACACACACACACATACACACAACCATTAATAGGATATATTAATGTTTCTCGATTGAACCTCATTTCACCTGAGACTGCTTTGGTCAACTTCATTCATCTTAACAACCTTTGCCGGCATCACAGGAAGCGTGCTCGGACCTATATTTCCCATTTAATGTCAGACATTAGCAGCTGCTGGCATGCTCACTATATCAGAGGCTTGTCAGCTAAATGGAGAGTGTGAAATGAAAAATTCAATCTGGAGAGATGGGGCCGAGCAGCTCGTCCTCCGCTCAGCCATGTGTCAGGCATCAATCTTTGCGTCTTGCCAAGTTCAAATGGTGTCCTGAGGGGGGTCTGCTCATACACACACACAACCCCTGAGCTGTGGAACCAGCTGTGGCTGCTGTGTTAATATACTTAGGATGATGTAAAGAGATATTTCACTCAGAGTTTCACTTGATACTTGGATGTTATTGTGTTTTTTGTGCAAAATGGACATTGAGAAGATATTTTATAGAAGTACTTAAATGTTTTTGTGTCTTAGCAAGAATTAAAGTTTATTTTACAAAGTGCTTGTGCTTTACTTGGTGAGCTTTAAAGCGGATGTAGGGATGCATGTGCACTTTGTTCTTACTATTCACTATCTTTCTGCAGAAGTTTCTAATTAGGTGAAAGCACTGTGTGAGCCAGGGTTGCGGTGTAGCTTGTGAAGATCGTACTGGCTACAGTGCAGTACATTTTGTAACTCTGCTCATTTATATAAACACTGCGAATATATGCCTTCTTGCGGATGATTGAAAATGCATTCACGATTGTCTTATTTTTCCTGGACGATATGTTTCTGGCTCATTTTGAATAATAAGAAGGAAAGCTGAGAAGTGAGAGCAACATGCAGAAATACCAGACAGGCCTTCAGAAATATTCTAATGTTAAGAGATGATGTCACAGTGCAGCAGCGCCCGCACTGAGTAGAAATACCATGGCAACAAACCAACTAAAGCCGGTGACAGCAAAACAAACTGAGACCTTCACAGCTGGATGGAACGCCTACAGTGAAACAGGCATGTGAAACATGGTCTTATCACATCAACAAACACACACACACACACAGTCCCTGTCAGTCTATAGATGCTACTCAGTATAATCAATACCTGACAAAACGCTTTGACATGCACCCTCTCCACATGTTACCATCACTGGTATCCACACAAAACAGTTTTGGACATGTTTGTCCAAGTTTATTTAGTATTTAGTAAAACTACTTGTCCATTTCATCTTTATTCTATCTATTCATTTAATGTGGCAGTAACAGTTTAAGTCTGCACACATATCCTTTGTACCTACCCCAGGTTGTGTTTCGTGGGTAATGTGTCTGAGTCTTGTGTTTTTATCTTTTAATTGATGCTGGAACACTGCAGTTGCCCTTCTGGAATGAAAAAAAGAATCTATCAATCATAACATGACTGTTGGAGTTAGGCCCAAAGGCTGTTTACTTGGCCTGCGGTGGTGCTGGTTGCAGCATTTTTTTTCTGTAACTATAAAAGTGACCTGCAGTAATTGAGCTGCTGCAAGTTAAGTGCACAGAACCATGAAACCACCACTGCTGCTGCACAAAGTGTTCCCCAAAACTGGAAAATCAGTTGTCATGCTGTTATCATCACATACGTTCATGAGTCCCAGTCGCTGCTGCAACAGAGCACTGGTCACCTGTTTATTCAGAGTTTACTAATATTAAACATCCTGTGTGAAGCAGATAAGATGAACAGTTCTTGAGATATGCCAACCAGAGATAAACAGACAACCAGAAAGACGGACGGATAGTTCTGAAATTATTTATTTATTGTTGTTTTAAGAATGGGGTGAAACGCTGATGTCAGTCTGTCTGTGTACAAACCTGTGTGGTGACATGTGCTGTGATTTCATGCTTTTGCAATGACACTAGTCTGTGAAATGTTTTCATTGCCACAAAAACAAAACAGCAAGACCTGTGGAATTATTAAGCCATTACTGTCCTGCAGGGACATTGCTTTGGACCACATAATTTATACCTGCTCTTTGTTGAAGTTAAAACATGACACAACCGTACAGCCTCCACTCAGACCAAAATCTTCTAATAGGCAGCCTAATTGTGAGTCTCCACATTACTGTTACATTTCCATTTGAATGGAGTGATTACAACCTCATTTAGATAAATCCTCGGGTTCAGCATATGTTGTGCGGCTGCTTGGCCCTGGCATTGCTGTTAAGAACGAGCCAATGAGAGTTTGAAGAGGGGTAATCTTCATCTTCTCTGTCCATGTGTGTCTCTCTCTGTGTGTTTGTGTGTGTGTGTGTGTGTCATTGCTCCGTGTGTATGAGATTCTATGTGTGCAAACTGCATGTATGCCCTCAATGCAGAGCTTACACACACAATGGCCTTTGCTAAATGACCTAGATAACGGAGGCAATCTGCTCCCCCCATCATGCAGGGAGTCACTGATGGTCCAAATCTGTCCATCGCTCATGGGCACTGAGGCAGACGCTGGCTCTCTGACACAGAAAATCAAAGCAATAAGACCATGAGCAAGAATCAGAGCCTTTCTGGAAACGTTTGATTTTTGTGTGCCGACAGTAAATGTCTGCTGCCTCTCTGTTCTCTGTGGGCTCAAACTTACAAGCATGTGAGCAGTTTCTACAAAGAACTCTCAAGTCTCTGCAGAGAACTTCTGAAGATCTGGATGGGTTAGTCGACAAGTCCAGTCCTGCTGGTTAAGAAGTTCTTCCATTTCAAAATGATTGAGGCCGCTGTGCTCCTTGGTGGGGACGCCATGTTGTGATGCACATGTTGTACCACTGGATAATAAAGTCATGACAAAGCTAATACTGATTACACCAGACAAGAAAAGTTTTGACTTACTTTGATCTGTAACGTTAGATTTGGCTGCAGGCAACCTCAATTAAAGGTGTGTGTGTGTGTGTGTGTGTGTGTGTGTGTGTGTGTGTGTGTGTGTGTGTGTGTGTGTGGATTAGAAATGTTACCTCCACCCTCATTAGACACAATTTGCAGATTGACTCATTCATGTTAACAGGCTCCCTTTTGGGCAAATGGGTGCAAAATAAATGTTTCTGTTTTTAGCTTTGAAACCAACTTGATAACAAGTGTTTCACAAATGTGACTTTCTATTTTATCTGATGAGTGTAGGCGTTAATGCGGGTACATGAAAATGAACCAAATGGGTTTATGCCTACAAAAACCTCAAGCAGACAGTGGGGCTGGTGGACTTGTTTTGTAACTAGTGTTTGTCTGAACAATGTGTAACACTGGTAACACTGGCTCCTGTGGCACCCCCGACTCATGGGAACACTCAAAGCTTTAGAAACAGACTCATACCCCGGCCATGATCTGCACCACAAGTATGGGCCTGAGGCCTGCAGGCAGCATCATGGAGCTCATGGCTTGGTTTGTGTCCATGCAGCTTGAATGGTAGGACCTTAAATTCAGGCATAGAGGTCAATTTCACAATAAGGGGGGATATTTGGGAAATAAAAGAAAAGAAGAAAAATGAGACCGTTGGTATTTTTCAATTAAGTGGTACTTATTCTACTTCTACCAAGCAACAAACTTGCATTTGGAAAGACATTGATTTTTAACTACCAGGTACCTATTATTGGAACAGTTATCCTTTAGTAGTAAAAAATGCTAATCGTACCAATTATCTTTTAAGATCTAGTTCAGAGATTGTTACTCTTGTATTCCTTACATTCTTGTTGCCTTGTACCTGCAGGTACAGTATATATGGTGTGGTCCAAAACTATATGAGAAGTGATGAACCCATAATGTTTTGGTTTTGGACAAATCATTGTGAGTAAGAGTTCCTATATTGTAACCCTCAGCATACATGTAGAAGAAGAGCAGAGTCACTCACAGCCAGGTAGAGTGCGGCGTACACACTGAGCGCGGCCTCCTTGGATGGGAAGGTTTTACGGGCTCGTAGGATGTCGTCCTGGTTTCCTGTGCAGGCCTCCTGGTGGCTGATGTAGCGCAGAGCCTGCTGGCAGCCCAGTGCTGTGTAGTTTGGCTTACAGACCGTCAGGAAGTAGGGGGCGAGGTTTCCCGTCACTACCTGGCCTGCATTGACAAAGATGTCAACGGTGAAGAGGCCAAAGGTGTAGACTCCTGAGAAAAAAAAGAAGAGGAAGAGGATGGACTCATGTTCTCATCAAAAGGTGAATTATTATTTTATTATGAAATAAAATATGGAGCTGTGTTAGCTGTCCCACCACCAGAATCTTCCACTGTCTATAATCCCTGTATATTATTCTCTCTATGAAAAATAACTTTTTACTTCTATCTCAACTTTGGCTTTTCAGCTTTATTCAGGAACAACACATCAGTAGAACATTAATTCCCAGCCCCTAATATTGATGGTCAACTGAGTGACTTAGAGTCTATTTATAGTGTCTGTTTGTGTTTCCTTGGCGCTTGTGTTGTGCTGCCATGATGGAAAAAGTCATTAGCCTAAAGCATTTACTGATGTCATTACAGTGGAAAGTGAGCAAGGGCCAAATTATCTGTCAGATAGAAGAGCTTCTGCTATCACTGCCATCACATACCACAATAAACACAAAAAGGCAGTTTGGGAAATGCCCATCATATAATTCTATTCACTTTCAATGGTATATCACAGTAACAATAATTTAACCCATGTAGCCTCTTTTGAAAACAAAGTTGCCAATGGAACCTAACTCTAATAAAAACAAATAAAGAAAATATGAACCAGGACTTCAGATGGAGTTTTTTTCAACAATTAATCATTTTAAGTCATCAAAAGGAAGAAAACTCAGTTTGCCTGCTCGCTCCACTTCATTCTTCATGATGTCACTTATCACCTCATATGAAAATACTCAATATATTGATATATATAAAAACAAATTTTCACAAATAATAGAGAGGATCTAATTTAGATTAGCTCTGTTATTTGTGAAAATATGTTTTTTCAGGCCATATTTTTGTTCTTGACATTCAAACAATGAGTTAGCCATGTGGAGATTCCCTCTATTATGATCCACCCATCCATTATGTGTATCACTTTTAAAGGGGCAGGAGCCAATTCCAGCTGACCCTGGACAGCATACCGGGCTTACACATAGATAAATTGGACACTCTGAACTGCCTTTGAGTGGCTGTATGTCTCTAAGTTGCATGTCTTAAGACCGTGGGAGCACTCAGAGAAAACCTCCTGAGGCGGAACATGCAAACTTCAAACGGAACGACCTCAGCTGGCCACCAGGTTCTTCCATCATTACTATCATTTTTGTTATTCTTCTTCTTATTAGGCCTATTACCATTATTACTTTGAACATGCGCCCTCACAAACACGCACACACACACTGACACACACACACTAACCAGAATTTTGAGCGGGGCCTTCATTGATGTGTTTATATTCTGCTAATGTTGGCATTTTTAAAGTGAAACAGTCAAATAAACAGTTTTGCTGGTTTGGTTTCTGTGGTTGCCGTTATCACACACCCAACCATATTAAACCGAGGATGGGATGTCAAATAAGCTGTGAGTTTATGAGAGGAGCAGCCATCCACGCTCTGCCTGCTAGTTGCCATGGACCTCACCTGCTGTCATGCTCACACTGGGGACTTGGAAGGGAGATGCAGCAAACTCACCCTAGCTTGCACTAGCTCGTGTCGACTGCAGGAGCATTCACAACACACCCACATCAGTCAGGACAACTACACAGTGCCTGGTGGTGTGGGGCAGTGCAAACTACAGAATACATGTCTTTACCAACAACTTCTACACCATTTGGTTTATTCTTTCTCATTTTGTAAAGGTATAGATGAGGCAGATGGCTGCCCGCAATGAGTCTGGTTCTGTTAAAGGTTTCTTCCTGTTAATGAAGGAGTTTTTTTCTCGCTCATTGTGGGAACTGTTGGGTTTTTGTGCAATTTTTATGGTCTTGACCTTAATATGTAAAGTGCCCTAAGATAAGTATGTTACAATTTGGCATTATACAAATATTATCAAATTGAAAATTTGTTAACATTAATGCAGAGGCAGCAATTATTTTTTCCCTTAAAAACGATAGTGTTCAGAAGCTTCTGATCAGTGGGACGTCTGTCTGAAGCTTGGCTGTCTCCCCTCTCCCTGATCTAAAAAAGACACTGTTTTGAGACAAAGCAAAGTGCTTCAAAAAAAGCCGGCACGCCACATAAATCATTTAACCGACTTGTATTTTCAGTGTAAATGCTTCCTTCTAACACCACACAGTCTGTTTAACCCACAGGGGAGACTTGCTGTTCCTCACAATATCTGATGCCGTCTGTAGAGACACAAAACTAGCCCCTGCTGCTCTCCCAAACCAAACACACACGCACGCGTCACCAAGTCGCCAACATCCTGTCATTCTGTTCTTAACTAAACCAGTCAGGATTACGTCCCAGTGATTGAAGGCCTTTAATAGAAAAAAAAAATTACTTCCCTCCTACAAGAGCCCAGCCCTCTGTCACACTAAATTACCAATCCCATGCTTAGTCACACAACTCTCTCGCACCCTCTGAGAGGGGTGTTCACTGTGCCGCAAACACACACACTCTTCCAGGACGCATTATTTGCTGGGGCAACAACAGTAGCTTTTCGAGTCACTGTCAAGTGTTTGTGCTGCTGCAAACTAATTAAGCCCGGCTGACAGACATTCATGGGAACAGGCAGCGAGGCACTCTGCCCACTGAGCAAGGTGTGTCTCTCTTCTTCTCCCACAGAAGTTCTTGTTTTAAATGTCACTGTCTCAGTCATTTGCTTCCCTTCCTCAGTCCTAATCACCCACACAGAGGGGTGAGCGAGCCTCCAGATTCTGACGGGTCAGATTCCTAACAAGCATCAAATAGATTTCGTCAAGCGGCCTGTGATTCACGCGTCACGCCTGGTTCCAACGCTGTCCCAGTTCTACTGTCACGAACGAGGAAGTGTGAGCATTTTACGGATGACCTACACTTGCTAGCTAACGCCCCCTCTCTCATCCATGTAGATTTTGGGAACATAGATAGGGAAAACTGGAAATTGCTTATTGGGGCATGAATCAAATTCAGTTTGCTTGATTCAAACAGAGTCATTATCTGCTGGAAAACCACTGTGGCCTTACATGCTCTTGTGCTCTGTATGTGTGTGTGTGTGTTTGAGAGTGAGCAGGGTTGAAGCAATGCACCTCTGCTTTGATCGGCTGCCAGCGTCGCCACACTGCAGCGTGATGGACACCCCAGCCAGCCTCAAAGTTATCACAGTTTTCCAGGCTCAAACATGACATAGGCAGACACCTCACAGCACGAATCCGAGGGTTGAATACACACATGGGGACTGAGCTCAATGTCACAGGGACAGAGAGGATGTTTATTGTAAATAAGATCACAGTTAATCATCTGGAAAAGATGAGTCAAAGCAGACAGACCTGATCAGACGAGCTTGTTTGTATTAGTTACATTTTGTCTGGAGTCAGGCTGAAAACACATCCTGACAGATGAGATGAGTGGAGGGCATTCCATACCAACAGGTCGCTCTTACCCAGAGTTGTGGATGGTGCTGACGATGCTGTGACATCGCCCACACCCAGGAGGGCTGAGGTTTGTCATGTTTTGTACAGACAACCGGCACTTTAAAGTGCCATCAAACATAAATATACAGTTCCTATTGAACTGTTGGAGGAAGCAGGAAGGTAGGACTCAAAGAGCCAATCTAGCATGAACACAATACATGTCAATTGTGATGTTCAAACAACAGCAACACTTTCTATGTACTTTTCTATGTAGTAACTCTGGTTACAGAAGGATGTACACAGGCATCCATTACTGCAGATGCAGCTACTAGCTAGCATTTACCTCTCCAAAATATGAAAAATATGAAAATATAGTTATTAAAGTTTACATTCAGTAGAGTTCATGCTGCATCTGTTGAGTCATTGTTGTCGTTGGTCCATACCACCTAAACCAAACTGAAGACATGACAGAGATCACTTTCAATGCATTTTTT